ACTTGGACAAACTGCTTGCGGTATCTAGCCTAATCCAAATCTTTGCTTCACACTCTTCCCATTCAGGTCGATTGGCTTTCTAGGTTCAGGGTTGGCGTAGCCAGCTCCGGAAAACATGGCGAGCACCGCCATCACCACCATGAGAAGATCTGTGAACTTCATGATGACTGATTGATGAGACTTAACCGCTCAAAAAGCGAAGACTGAATGTATTCTGAAACCAACACCAGTACTTTTAAACAACAAGATTTCCTCAATTTACCTTAGGGGGAGTCCGGGACAGTTTAGCAGGTGGGAGACAATAGCCACTGCTCATAGAATTTTTATGGAACTAAATATTGCGACGTAGCCACACTTCTTAGACTCCTTAGGTGCGTCCCACCTCGCTCACGCATTGCCGTTGCGATTGGTAGTTTGGTTTAGGAGTGACAAGTGATAACACATTTTCGAGCCCAAAAAGTAACTTTTTTCAATTTTCGATATTTGATTTCAGTTGTTTACTATGAATAGATTCCAGCATGTCATTTATATACATAGTAAATGTAATTATCCTAGTTCCATTTACGGTAGACAGTTTTTACTTAAGTGTTATAGTTTTTTATAAAAATGTAATAATGGACAGCTTGACCTGGGGTGGGAGACATTAGCCTGGCATCGGGAGGAGACTTTACCCAGGGTAATCTGGTACTTTTATTGCAGATAATCATCCAAAATGCCTTTCCAATATAAAAAGGAACATCTAGAAATAGGAACCATTTAGATCTGTCAGTAATAAGAAATGCTATGGGTATGTAACATTGATAAAGGAAAATTAGAGGTGTTGCCCCAGTAGAAACTAGTTTATCCAGATCAACCAGTTTTAATAGAAAAAACGTTGCTGATTTTTTTCAAAACCTCAAAGAATTAAATTGTTACACATTTTCATTCAAGAAGATTAAATTTCTTTATAGTATTATAATTTTTAGTGATTATTTTGCTTATTTTTAAACCCGGGTAAAGGCTCCCTACTTGGGGGGTAAAGTCTCCCACCCAGGCGGGAGATATTAGCCAAATATCACTTTGGTTAAAATTGTTAATTACTCTTAAACTAATAATGATGTATTAAACTTTCTTAGAAGAAAATATAGCTAAATAATGTAGCTTAACATACAATTAATAAAAAATAGCGATTTGTAAGTATAGAAATATTTATGAGCATTTTAGTGGAAGGCGGGTAAACTCTCCCGGACTCCCCTACTCATTAGAACATGTTGTAAGTTAGGATAATCCATACCTACGCGTTGGTTATTGAGATGATTAATTAGTTTTTGCATTTTATTGACCACATTTTCCGCCTCCAGTTATTGGTCAAACAATATTGCCCCGTTTATATTTTACCTTCTTAGGCAAACGGTCTGACTATAACAAACTACTAACAAACTTCGGAGTTTGATCATAACTTGGCGCCGTCTGTTCTACATTAGTTTATTGTCGAATCCTTTCGGTGGCGGCATTCTGTGGTGGCAGTGAGTCGAGGTTGAGATGAATTCAAAAGATTTTCCAAGGAAGGTTGACATGCTGTCAATAATTTCAATACAATTCCTTAGTTACCGTAAATTAACTCACAATATTGTTTTAAACATTTCATCCTGACATAGTTTATTTTCTCAACGTTATTAATTACTAGCTTTCCGCCCGCGGCTTCGCCCGCGTGGAATTTTGTCTGTCACAGAAAAACTTTATCGCGCGCGTCCCTGTTTCAAAAACCGGGATAAAAACTATCCTATGTTCTTTCCCGGGACTCAAACTATCTCTATGCCAAATTTCATCAATATCGGTTGCGAGGTTTAAGCGGGAAAGCGTAACAGACAGACAGACAGACAGACAGACAGACAGACAGACAGACAGACAGACAGACAGACAGACAGACAGAAGACAGACAGACAGACAGACAGACAGACAGACAGACAGACAGAGTTACTTTCGCATTTATAATATTATATATATATATATAATATATATATAAATATAGTTGGGATAATATTAAGTTGGGATTGAAGTTTTATTTCATTTCTTTGGAATCTTAATCTCTCTTTAAAAATCTATCTACAAAACATACCTAATCACATTGACTGAGCAGCTTAAACCAGTATAAGAAGTACAGTAATTGAAATGAGGCCCAACAAGTAACCTACATAATTAATTTTAAATTAATTCAATTAACCTACATAAAACTGAAAATATGCCAAGTTTATCAAGATCAATGGTCCCTTACTTATTGTAAACCATGACGTGGTGATAGAGGTCCTAGAGAAACGCGACCAAAATGTAAAGTTAACTAAGTTTTTTCACATAACAGACATCATAAATGGACCTTAAATCTCATTAATGGTACTTATTGTGTTAAGATTTTTTATTTCACAACAACGTTTTTGCAAAAAAAAAATACAAGAAAATGAAAGTTCATAGAAAACAACAAAGATGGTTAGGCAGAACCATTATCTATTGTGACCAGTGATTCCTTTAAGACTAATATTTAACTTTGTAGACCCGAATAAACAATACTCTAGTTCGCCTACGGGGTATTTCTCAGTGGCGAGACCAATCGCCCTGAATTTAGCAATAGATTCTCAATTAACTTCAATTGACTCGACCCTAAATAATTATAATATGCTAGTGACTGGTGAGGTGTCCCACAATCTGCCAACCTCATTTACAAAAATACAAGTAGAACAAACAAGTTCTTGGAAACACGGCTTATTTCGTATATTTCATTATTTACGTCTGTTCTCATTTATATCCCGATTATAATGGTTTTCAATTTCGTTTTCATAAATAAGCTCCTTTACACTGGCGCAAAATATATTAACATTAACAACAACCTGCTTGAGAAGCCGAAAGTATCTGGCTCACTCAATTCAAAAGTTATGGTAATTGAACTCATCCACATTGTATCCGGGAAGCGCGAAGGCCTCTTTACTCAATTTCCCTTCTTATGTTTGGAACAACTTGTACGATGATGCTATATAAATTATGTTCTCTTTGAAAACTTTTCCATTGTAATACGATCCATTCAAATGTTATACTAAGGCTGAGTTGCACCACCTAACTTTGACCGTAACTATTACGATAACCGGTGCTTTTTGTATGGATTTTGACGTGAGGCTTCCGGCGACTGGGACCGCAATTAACTAGGACCGCGGTCCCAGTCGCCGGATCCATAAAAAAATAATAATTTTCGTCCGGCGACTGGGACCACTCATAGATAACTTAAAAGAAAATATTATTCAATCCAAAATTGGTACAGTACTAAAATCCATGAGTGGTCCCAGTCGCCGGAAGAAAATTATTTAATTTTTACGCATCCGGCGACTGGGACCGCGGTCCCAGTTAATTGCGGTCCCAGTTGACGGAATCCTCTTTGACGTTTGTCAAAGTTAAAGTAAGATGGTGCAACCCAGCCTTAGATGTTAACTTTTTTGCTGATTTGTAAATTATAGCCTAGGTACCTAGTTATGCCATCTCTACCACCTACATAATCAAGTTAGAAATAATCGTTAAGCTCTTCCGAAAGTTATCCATAAGTGAGTTATGCTAGTCAACTCAGGCAGTTCCTAACTCTTGGATGCAACTGAGTCGCATTATTTGATTATAGTGCGACTAGCATGAAATATTTCGGTCAGACGTACCTACATAACAGTATTAAGCATACCTGTCTACTTTAATTTCAGAATAGGTACCTACATTAAGTTACACGTTAACTCGTAGTAGATTCAGGAAACATTTCAACTCGGATTGATTTTTCATGAACACAGAAAATTTTCCTCGTAAATGCTTTCATAGCGACCAAAAATTTTCAGTATTTACCAAAAATAACTTTCAAAGGTTACAATAATATTGTTGATATTTTTAGGTTTGTGTAGGTATTGTTCGCAAGTTGGTTAGAACTTTTTGTTTATCGGAAGGAGTTTTGTTTTTCTACCGCTTCAATGCTGTTACAGGCATGGCTCAATTTAAATGTAAAACCTGCTATTTTCATCATAAAATCTTCCAAAATGTGTTAAACTAGGTACTGTAATTTGGTTTCCATATAACAAATATGTCCCTAGGCTAGATACTAAGTAATTCTACGTACTAAGAAGATTCGAATTAAATAATAATATCTAAAATAGTTTACAACCACACAGCCTCTAATTAAAAAGAGCTTAACTACGATGACATCTACCAAGTAGATAAATTATTAATACAAGAAGTGCAAACCAAATAGTAAAAAATTCAAACTATAGATAAATGAATTTTTGAAACAATAAAATGACATGTCCATAATAATTAATAACCTGAGAGATAATTTCCGGCTATCGAAAGCATATAGCACTTGGTTCCATTGATTCCTGTGAGGAACATGCTTCCGATATGTTCCCGGATATTAAGCCAGAAGACTGCACCATCTGATTCCATTAAACATCCAAAATATGGCCGCCGCGAGCCCAGATTTGAGATAGCTTAATTCACCCGTCGCTTAGAATACGGCCCGTATTATGAAAGGACACCCAATTCACTCATTATTAGATTCAAATGGATCGAAGCAAAAAGTAAAACATTTTGAAAGAGCGATTCTGATGCTCAAATACAACAACTTTTTAGGGAAACCAACAGAAATATTTAATACGATAAAATCACATTGAATAATCTATAAAAAAATTGAAGGGGGCGTGAATGTTTTTCGATGTTCAACCCTTTTGGTTCTGGCAGTATTTTTTACACCATATAAGTAGGTATTTCAACTTAACCAAGTTACAGAGTTTAATCTAAACTTGCAAAAAAAATTGAGCGTGTTGCACAATACGGGCCTAATGGTCAATTCCTACAACACGGGGTCAAAGTTTTCTTACAGACAACTGCAATTTTTATGAATAGATTTATTTATAAACGTACCACTAGTTGGTACCTACTTACTCGTTCTATTCGACGGGATTATTATTAATTTACATTTTAATGTGTTAATAAACTGATTTCTAGGTTAGTCCTATCAGTATTTTTTCCATATGATACAAACCGCACACAACATTATTAGTCACATCACGTCTGCGATTCTCATTAAGTCGCTATTGCCGTTAGCTGCAAACCCACTACGAAGCCAAGCTCTGACGTCACAATGTTACAAATGGGAAACAGAACTTCGTAATACTGGAATAGCCCAAGCCTACCTGTGGAGTTCAGTAAGGAAAGGCACGTCGATATTGTTTGCTTTAAATAAAGTGCGTACTGCGACAGATCACATTCATCACTTCACCACCGCAGCGTGTGTTGGTAACTCCTCAGTTCTCCCAGAAGTCAGTCAGTGCTCAGTCATGAAGTTCACGGCTCTGTTCACGGTGGTGATGGCGGTGCTCGCCATGTTCTTCGGAGCTGGCCACGCCAACCCTGCACCTAAAGTCCCTGTCAAGCAAATCGGCAAAGCTATTGTAAGTAAATCTACTTGAAAACTATCCTAATGGATCCTAATATTACCTTGTAAAGTTTGTGAAGACTGATACATTCATCCTTTCTCAACAAAATATTCGTCTGGGTGTACTACTCGTATAACATCCCTACTTCAGAATAAAATGCTCTAAGTTACAGTATCATTTGAAATGAGTTATATTTAAAAACTAATTGTCAACTTAATATATAAAAAAATTCATTGATTTTTAACTTGTTCCAGAAAACTGGTTTAGGTGTCCTGGGAGCGGCAGGCACAGCCCACGAAGTGTACAACAACATCAAGAATCGAGGATAAAATAATATAATTTGTATCTAAGTAATTTTTAAGTTATTTATTATGACAGTTACACCTCTACTGCCCTTCGTCTGGAAGAAATCGTTACCTGACATTAAAATTACCTCAATATTGTATAATAATGATAATTAGTAATGTAATTTAATAGATTAAAAACATAAAAATACATTCTGGGTTCAAACTAAAAAATGATTTTTACTTTATCAATTTATCAACCAAAATATGGAATGTCCAAAAGGACATGAAAATATTGGACTCCACGAATAAGACGTCCAAGATAGAATCAAATGGCCGACCCCGAGTAACGGGATAAGGTGAGGCAGAAGAAGCAACTCAAAAAGCTTAGATGAGCTCCCTTACCACTTTCCTTTTGTAGACCAAACAAACTTTAATAAACAAACATAATATTGTATTAGTGCTATAACTTCCTTCGTAAGTAGTTAAGTGCACAACAAGGTTCGTGCACATTTCAATCTATTTGTATCTGAGTCATTTTGAAATTAAAAACGTCTACTGAAATACGAGTAGGTATGATCGTATTGATGGTAACATCCATATTAATAATAACAAATAAAACGAAAAAAAACTTATTTACGATTTACTGAATGAATAGACTTGAAGACTTAGTACTCAGTTGCTAGAACAATAAGATCTGATTTAAATCAGTGAAAATTACTACCGGAAAACTCACTATTTTCCACGTTTTAATAAAATTTTTTTCCAGTCTACAAAGTACACCTTAATTGTTTGTTATAAGTGACAAAAATAAACTAAAGTAATTAAGTATCGAAAGGCCTTTTTTGTGTACATTTGAAAAATATTTTTCTTATTAGATATTTTATTTCAATTCATGCATCCTTTACGGGTAAAAAAAACAGATCGACTACTTAATTAGAAAAAGTTTTCCACGCACATATAAAAAATATTATGAGTATAAAAAAATCATTAAAGAAAATATAAGATCCTCTTTTACTACATAAATAATAATTAATTAAATAAAACTCGTTAAATATAAGTTAACCATCCACCTGTCCCATTTACCCGTTTACCTACATTTTGGTAGGCTTTTAATCAGATTAGGCGATAAAAGTTTTGATTAGAATAATATTAACGATATAACTTAAGCCCATGCCATGAACATTAAGATTAAATACCTAACTTTATTAGTGGACTAAAATAATGTTGAGTTTCTCGCCATACATCGGGGTGACTGGAACTGAATCCGCCCATAGCAAATTCGAACGTACAGTCGCGGAATGAAAAGGTTCGTCACCTTAGTGTCGGTTTTTGCTTGCACTAGGTACTGTAAGAGTCAAACCTGCCAACATAACAGTGCAAGAAACAGTGCTGCTAACATTTAAATAAATATGACGTTTGCTAACGATTAAGGTTTTGCTTGTTTATTTTTCTATCCCATTAGTGCAATATTACAAAATGTAGTTTTTTTATTTAATAGATAATGGCAGGTTGAACCAACAAGAAGGTTTTAGTTTATCAATCATAATAATCTTCTTGACAAGTTGTTTGACACAACTTTGATGTGAATAATTTTGAACTTTACTGACGAGCAGTTAAAGATTATTTTATCTAACTCGAGATTATTCTGTAACATATTAGTTTCAAAAGGTAATATATTGTGCTCGCGATTCGTTGAAGGAATCAATTTGAAAACTGACGAACCTTTTCATTCCGTGACTGTACATAGCTCACGGAACTGTGGGCTGAGTGTTAGGCAGAAAAGTTCTCGAGGGGCGACCAGGGACTAAAATAAGTAGTGTAGGCAGGCCTCCAACTGCTGGCGAAGGTCACGGGAAACCTGGGTGTGGGTATTGCAGGACCGGTCGTTGTGGAAATTATAGGAAAATCGGAGGGGAGGCCTTATCCACCAGTGGACGTCATTTGGTGAACGACACAATGTAATGTAAATTATTGTTGTAAAATAGGTAGGTATAGGTTAATTCGTATTATTGAGCTTCTGTTACGGGCATTGTAAAACAGTTTTTTTCCGTCAGTGAAAAAAGTCCGGTCAGTCAGTGTCAGTAGCATCATTTAGGAACTTAAGATTCTTATTGTAATTATAAAAATACTTTTTCGGGAATAAGTTTCACTGATTTTCTACTCCGAATTATCATGAGATTAGTGTTTCATCAACTTACCTTAAATTTCGGAATACATTGAATATTTTTTTGTTTACATTAGAAAGAAACATTAGAATTTAATTCTAATTGTTACATTAGAAAGAAAGTTTTTTTCTATTATGATAAAATTCTAAAATCTCTATTATAAACCGCTTCGGTTAAGAATATTTCAATTAACTCTCCCTATGAAACGAACACAAAGATCTCTGATCCTTGTTCACTTATTTACTTAGGTAGCCATTTCAAAGAAAGTTATAAATTACAATATAATATTGTTTGTTTACAAAAAAGAAAGTTTCAACAAAAAGGTAGGTTTTAGTGAGAAATTTTGTTTTAACTTGTAATGTGTGTTCTTCCAAACTTTCTGGGTTAATAAAGTGAAAAGTCGTGTTTAGGAACTTTGAAAATAGTAAAGAATTTATTTTCATATTAGTTTTAAGTCTATTATATTAAGAACTAACATAAAATATTGACGTAGACAATCCATGTTTAGGGCGGAAAGAATTTAATTATCATTAAATTATAAATAGTTAAAAATATTGAAGAACAGTATTATATTATATTATTTTATCCTCGATTCTTGATGTTGGTGTACACTTCGTGGGCTGTGCCTGCCGCTCCAAGGACACCTAAACCAGTTTTCTGGAACAAGTTAAAAATCAATTAAATTTTCTATCATAATATTAAGTAAATTTCGTCCAAGGTAAATTAGTAAACTTTGAAATATACTTATACTGTACATGAGTATTCAATACTTACAATAGCTTTGCCGATTTGCTTGATAGGGACTTTAGGTGCAGGGTTGGCGTGGCCAGCTCCGAAGAACATGGCGAGCACCGCCATCACCACCGTGAACAGAGCCGTGAACTTCATGATTGACTTCTTGTAGTTACTAACTGAGGAGTTCACCAACTAACACACGCTGTAGTGTTTGAGTTGTGAATGCGTTCAAGTACAATACGCACATTATTTATAGTTCAAATATTAACATTCCTTTCCTTACCAAACCTTCGCCTAAGCTTGGGCTATTCCCATGTTTAAGCACTTAAGACGTCAGAAGAGGGTACGGTCAGTAACACGCTTACGATAGGCCCTGGTAATGAGTTGTCCATATTAATTTGTACACATTGTGAGTAATAATGTTATTTGTGTGGTTTGTTTACTACGGCCGATTATCATTACTCGTAGATCGTCCATAGCATTCGTAGTGAATGATTCATATCGTAGCTCGTACTCGTACCTTAACTCAAGACTAAAGCTGTGCCAATACCTCTGACGTCAGGTTTTACAAATGGGAAACAGAACTTCGTAATACTGGAATAGCCCAAACCTACCTGTGGAGTTCAGTAAGGAAAGGCACGTCGATATTGTTTGCTTTAAATAAAGTGCGTACTGCGATAGACCACATTCATCACTTCACCACCGCAGCGTGTGTTGGTAACTCCTCAGTCCTCCCAGAAGTCAGTCAGTGCTCAATCATGAAGTTCACGGCTCTGTTCACGGTGGTGATGGCGGTGCTCGCCATGTTCTTCGGAGCTGGCCACGCCAACCCTGCGCCTAAAGTCCCTGTCAAGCAAATCGGCAAAGCTATTGTAAGTATTGAATACTCATGTACAGTATAAGTATATTTCAAAGTTTACTAATTTACCTTGGACGAAATTTACTTAATATTATGATAGAAAATTTAATTGATTTTTAACTTGTTCCAGAAAACTGGTTTAGGTGTCCTTGGAGCGGCAGGAACAGCCCACGAAGTGTACACCAACATCAAGAATCGAGGATAAAATAATATAATTTATTAGTTACTGTTCTTCAATATTTTTAACTATTTATAATTTAATGATAGTTAAATTTTTTTCCGCCCTAAACATGGATTGTCTAACGTCAATATTTTATGTTAATTCTTAATATAATAGACTTGAAATTAATATGAAAATAAATTCTTAACTACTTTCAAAGTTCCTAAACATGACTTTTCACTTTATCAACCCAGAAAGTTTGGAAGAACACACAAACACATACAAGTTAAAACAAAATTTCTCACTAAAACCTACCTTTTTGTTGAAACTTTCTTTTTTGTGAACAAACAATATTATATTGTAATAAATATATAACTTTCTTTGAAATGGCTACCTAAGTAGTTAAGTGAACAAGGATCAGAGATCTTTGTGTTCGTTTCATAGGGAGAGTTAATTGAAATATTCGTAACCGAAGCGGTTTATAGTAGAGATTTTAGAATTTTATATAAAAAAAAATTCAGTGTATTCCGAACTTTAAGATAAGTTGATGAAACACTAATCTGATGATGATTCGGAGTAGAAAATCAGTGAAGCTTATTCCCGAAAAAGTATTTTTTAAAATTACAATAAGAATCTTAAATTACTAAATGATGCTACTCACACTGACTGCGGTGAGGAAGACGGTGGGCGGGAGTTTGCATCGTGCGGTCCACACAGCTTATGACCGCAGTCTGTGGAGGAACACTATCTGTGGTCGCGATCCTCATCAGTGAGGGACTGAGGAAGAAGAAGAGAGACACTGACTGACCGGACTTTTTTCACTGACGGAAAAAAACTGTTTTACAATGCCCGTAACAGAAGCTCAATAATACGAATTAACCTATACCTACCTATTTTACAACAATAATTTACATTACATTGTGTCGTTCACCAAATGACGTCCACTGGTGGATAAGGCCTCCCCTCCGATTTTCCTATAATTTCCACAACGACCGGTCCTGCACTACCCACACCCAGGTTTCCCGTGACCTTCGCCAGCAGTTGGAGGCCTGCCTACACTACTTATTTCAGTCCCTGGTCGCCCCTCGAGAACTTTTCTGCCTAACACTCAGCCCACAGTTCCGTGAGCTATGTACGTTCGAATTTGCTATGGGCGGATTCAGTTCCAGTCACCCCGATGTATGGCGAGAAACTCAACATTATTTTAGTCCACTAATAAAGGTAGGTATTTAATCTTAATATTCATGGCATGGGGTTGAGTTATATCGTTAATTTTATTCCAATCAAAACTTTTATCGCCTAGTCTGATTAAAAGCCCACCAAAAATGTAGGTAAATGGGATAGGCGGATGGGTAACTTATATTTTATGAGTTTTATTTAATTAATTATGAGTAAAAGATAGGATCTTATATTTTCTTTCATGAATTTTTTATACTCATAATATTTTTTATGTGGAAAACTTCTTCTAATTAGTAAACTTCTTCTAAGTAGTCGATCTGTTTTTACCCGTAAAGGATGCATGAATTGAAACAAAATACCTAATAAGAAAAGTAATTTTTAAATGTACCTACACAAAAAAGGCCTTTCGATACTTAATTACTTTAGTTTATTCTTGTCGCATTAACAAATAATTAAGGTGTACTTTCTAGACTGAAAAAAAAAATGTTATTAAAACGTGGAAAATAGTGAGTTTTCCGGCAGTAATTTTCACTGATTTATAATCAAATCTTACTATTTTAGCAACTGAGTACCGAGTCTTCAAGTCATAATTCACATCTTACTTTGACTTTAACAAACGTCAAAAATCTGTCAATCTCCATACAAAAAACACGGTCTATCGTTATACACTCAACATCAAATAAACCGCACCTTCCGCGACGCGAACTTTAAAGATTTTCTTCTGACACAATCATGGTACCCCAACAATATTGGTGTTATTTGAAAGCCCAATAAATATCCTTAAAGAAAAATACATTTTAAGGATATTTATTGGGCTTCAAATCGGCAAAGCTATTGTAAGTTAATCTACTTGAAAACTATCCTAATTGATCCTAATATTACCTATAAATGTGAAATTTTGTGAAGATTGATACATTCATCCTTTTTCCAACAAATATTCGTCTGGATGTACTATCGTCTGCGGTGCGGCCCCTGGGTCTGCGGGTGTCTATGGGCGACGGTGCCTCCTGTCACATTTAAAAAAAATAACATCCCTACTTCAGAATAAAATGCTCATGTTACAGTATCATTTGAATTGAGTAATATTTCAAAACTAATTGTCAACTTAATATGATAAAAAATTTCATTGATTTTTAATTTGTTCCAGAAAACTGGTTTAGGTGTCCTGGGTGTTGGAAAGTTAGAAACTTTTTGGTTAAACGCAAGCATATTTGAATATTTGAATTTGGCACTCTGCTGTCAATGTAAGGTTTCCAGACTTCTGGATCAGTCACTCGATCTCATGTAGTCTCTGTGTGCTGTATGTTCTAAAATAAATCCGTGGTAATCTTCGTGGTCTTTTCCTTCTTACGCTCCAAACTCCAACATGGTAGCAGAGCGTAGTTACAAGAAGTGAAAAGCGCTCATATTTCCGCGAAATTGGTCGTACATCGCGCACTTGGAATTATTACCGTACCGGAAGCGGCGAACGGTATTCAAGATGGCTTCGATGGGATTCGGTCAGAATTGCATTGAGAGACTAAAGGGGGCAGAAAATTACTCCACGTGGAAGTTCTCGATGCGAATGGTGCTAATCCATGAAGAGTTGTGGGACTGCGTAGAAGCGGTGGCCGACGAGGACAACAAGAAGAAGGATGATAAGGCCTTAGCGCGCATCGCGCTGTCCGTGGCGCCGACCGTAATTCCGCATATACGCACTGCCAAAAGTGCCCACGAAGCGTGGACAATACTGCAGAAAACGTATGAGGGACGTGGTCTGAGCAGGAGATTGGGCTTGCTGCGGAGTCTCTTCAATACGAAATTATCTAATTTTGCTCTTGTGTTTTCTAGGTCGGGCATGGATATTTCAGCTTATGCTGATGCTGACTGGGCGTCAGACAACATGGACCGCAAGTCATACACAGGCTTTGTGTTTACTATTGGTAAGTCAGTCGTTACTTGGGAGAGTCGCAAGCAACGTACTGTTGCCTTGTCCAGCACTGAGGCGGAGTACATGGCGTTGTCTGACACATGTAAGGAAGCTCTATTTATTAGAAAGTTTATATGTGAGATTTTTGGTACCATGCCTAGAATAACAATTTACAATGACAATCAATCTGCTATAAAACTATGTAAAAACTATATGTTTCATTCTAGAACTAAGCATATTGATATTCGTCATCATTTTATTAAAGAAATTGTAAACAAAGGAATAGTTGAAATTAAATATTTGTCAACTGTTGTTATGTTAGCTGATGTGTTAACTAAAGCACTATGTAAAGAGAAACACAATAAGTTTGTGTGTCAATTGCTAACTTTAATTTAAGTTACTTAATGCTAACAATTGAATTAAAGCTAATTGTAACTTAAGTTTTTTAAAATGTTAACTTTGTATTTGTGTTGTGTTTCTTTAGTGTTAAGTGTTTTATAAATGTATTTATTGTAAGTTTAGCTTGCGTTTAAGGGCCAGTGTTGGAAAGTTAGAAACTTTTTGGTTAAACGCAAGCATATTTGAATATTTGAATTTGGCACTCTGCTGTCAATGTAAGGTTTCCAGACTTCTGGATCAGTCACTCGATCTCATGTAGTCTCTGTGTGCTGTATGTTCTAAAATAAATCCGTGGTAATCTTCGTGGTCTTTTCCTTCTTACGCTCCAAACTCCAACACTGGGAGCGGCAGGCACAGCCCACGAAGTGTACAACAACATCAAGAATCGAGGATAATAATATAATTTGTATCTAAGTAATTTTTAAGTTATTTATTATGACAGTCACACCTCTACTGCCCTCCGTCTGGAAGAAATCGCTACCTGACATTAAAATTACCTCAATATTGTATATTAATGATAATTCCTAATGTAATAGATTAAAAACATGAAAATAAATTCTGGCTTCAAAGTTCCTAAAAAATGATTTTTACTTTATCAATTTATCAAACACCTGGATGTCCTGATGAATGTCCAAAATAATAATAATAATAAATAAATATCCTTAGACATTTTAGACTGTGCTTCTATTCCCAAACTAAGCAAAGCTTGTACTATGGGTACTAGACAACGGATATAAACATACTTAAATACTTTTTTTTTTGTAAATACATACATATTATACATAGAAAACACCCAGTCCAAT